AAATGTACTGCTTTTATTATATAGGACTCAAAGTAAGACCTAAATCACTATCTAATAAAAGAAAATTATTGAGTTGGATATCTAAAGTTACTACCCAGAGGCTACTCTGGTACAGGATTTATAAATCTCTGAACAGTTAAGTATAATTATCTTTCTGCTTTTGGGGAAGAAAGCAAAATACGAGTTTTAGTTAGAACTGAAAAAAAAATATTTTGTGTTGGGCCCTGTTCATCTGGTGGGTAAAACAACAAGCGAAATTCCCACAGTGTAAGACTGAAAGAAAATACAAGAATCATGAAAAATGAAATGGGAACAGCCACTAGATGCTACTTGAAGAAGAAAGGATGGAAATGTCAACAGAATGAAGGAAAGGAGAATTACTGGAGCTCTCCCAACATAACTGCCATGACTGGTCTTTTCTCTGAAATACTTCATGATAAAATAATCTCACCTTGTATTTGGGGACAGAATGAGAATCAGGAAGGATCAAGGGATAATAAAAGCAAATCTCCATTACCTAAAAGCGACCTTTTTTCTCCACCACAAACATACCTCTTTACAAAGCTTTCTAAGAAGACAATTATTCAACACCTATAAGAGGAACTCCAAGATTAAAACAAGACTTCCCTTGTCACAAATAGGACCTCTGACTGAGTTTATGAGTCATTTTGTGAAGAGGTAGGCCAAACTCCAACTTTACAGCATTTTCTATCTCACAAGCTGAGATGTCTTAATGAAAGTAATAGTTCGCTGCAGCTTCAGTGGGATGCACTTTGGCCTTTCCGTCCTTGGAATCTAGGTCTCCCAAAGGCAATAAACTGCCCTGATGACTTCCAAAAGCTCATTTGCAGGACATCAGAGTCTGCACAACAACCTCTAGTGACTCTAAGGAGTTGCCCAGTCAGCTCTGAAACATTCAATGCAGACAGCCATGAGAATGCTTTCAACATGAAAGTTTTTAACAACACAGATCCATTTTGAAAGTTTCTTGTCCTTTTTGAGTAGAATTACACATTTTATGGAAAGGACACTAGCAAATACTTCCAGAACAGTTAGCAAGCTTTTCCTTCTAAGGAAGTCACCTTGTTTTCACTCACAGATTTGTGTAGTCATGTTGTTGTCATCTGTTGCTAGACACAGATTTGACAACATAGATAGTTTACTAGCATCTACTCTTGATACTCCAGGTTCTTTTATAGCTCTGGTCCAGATTTTTTTATTTTTTTTTTTCTGTGCCTTGGAACACTGAGGGTTTTTTTTTTCTTCTTCAGGAGATCAGGATGCAATTCTGGCAGGACCAGTTAGGATTCAAGGCAAGCAGACCAGAGGACAAAAGCATTGCCACACTTGTTACAGAAGATCCAGATAATTCATGCTACCCAGTCAAAAGCCTGGGAATATTTTAACACTATGAGACACTAGAAAGATTTTGCTCCTGCATGAGAACAGCTGTGTGTGTATTAAGTTCATCTTGAACTAGTAATGAGAAAATCCTTTGTTGATATAAACCAGATTAATGCAGTTAACTTAATCCATTAGGAACTGGTGGCCATATTGTTTTTTATCAGGGAGCCTTGCTTTCATATGTCCACTCTCTTGTTTCTTCTATAAGGCCTTTCTTCTCAACTGTGGGTTCAGTTGCTGGTGCAATGCTATATCCTTGATTGGAAAAGGCATGTTTGGATGGATACAGAAGGTTGGCTAGTGAAGAATGTATATATGCCTATGACTGGAAGTGACTTCAATATTAAAGTAGGTGATGAGGCTCGAGAGAAAAGGGAATGAAATCTCCAAATCTGTGGGTTCTTTTTCTGCTACCAACTCAGAACAGAGGAGTTATAGATATGGCCCTGTACTTCAGCACTGGCCAATAATTGTGGCTTATCTGATGGTTAATAAATTTGTATCCTGCTTTTTATGGTATACTTCTTGTACTGATGTCATATTTTGTCTGAGGCTGGAGTGAAATAATTATAGGTAAAATCTGGAAATATACTTGTATATACTTACAAGCTATGAATTAAATGACTGTATTTTTTTCCTTTTTCCAGAGGCATAAGCGTAATTGATATATCACATTTTCATATGAGATTCCACTGCTTAATGACTGTAGAATTATGCTAGCTATTTACTATAGCAAGGGTAAGATTACACTGTTAATTCACCTCACCAAAAATCTCACAGTTTAGTCCATATGTGTCTCAGGCTGTTCACATAATTGGTTTTGTTTCTTGTCTTTTCAACACCTTGTCACAGGTCAACCGACATTCTTACACACACCCAGATTTTCTAATGTCGGTGTTTCCTGTGATCAGTAATAGAAGTCACATAAAA